TTTTCTCCAAAAGTAGACGGCGTAGAGCTTTACACCAAGACAGAGATGAGGATGTTGTGTAAAGATGGAAAACTATTCGTCTGGATGCATGCAAGAACATCTTTGAAAGATGGTAGTAGACGACTTAAACCGTTGATGATATCAAGATCCATAGGAAATTGTTTTATTTTAATTTTGAGATATTTTTCAAAATAGACCAATCATGTTGCTTAATTTTTTTAATTTTTTTTGAGTCTGTTTAGGGCCTATGCATAACTATTTATTCTATTCTCTATGTTAAACGAATTATATTATGGTCATTGTCTCATCCTTCCGTCACCATTCATTTCATTCATTCAATTTGACCGTCAATATTGTTCTTTTTCTCTCTCAATATCTGTTCCCACACTAGTCGACTAATATGATAACCATTGTTCTACTCTTGCGACATAAAATCACTCGCTATTATAATGCACGACGTAGACGGTTATTTTTTTTATTCCATTAATGATGTAAGCGGGAGAAGTATTGGGTCCCGGCTATCCTGCATCTCGCGATATTTTGTCCCGTGTCCCGTCAGTCTCTGATATGTAACTATCTTTTAAGAAGCGTTCTAAAGAGGAAAAACAACGTTAGTCAATTTCGTACAAGTAAGAAGGTGAATATATATTAATGATCGACACCTATTCCGTCTCCGAAAATGTGTTAGAGACGTTCAGCGTAGAATGTCTTATTCTTCATGGACGTAATGGAAAATTCTGAAAATTATATCATATATAGAACTATGTGTGGGCTACAATATGACATAATTTGATCTGAAATGACCTGGAAGATTATAGGAATGAGACATTGAAGAAGATTCGAATTCTGATATGACCATGATAAAAAGTCACGACTCCAATGAACCTCATATAGGTAGATGTCCCCCACCTTGCTCTATCGAGTGGTGAAAATCGCAGCTTGATAGTTCAAACTGATAAAGAGTGATTCCAAAAATAGTCGTTGGTACTTTTAAAAAAATCCAACATTAGATGTTCTACACATTATCATCAAATATCAAGTGGTATTACATCAGATCATTTCTTACAGTGTATAATTGTCTGTCTTTGATTTTTTTGGTTAGTATCAGATATAAGTAGTTCACATAGTGAAGTACATATTGGTGAAAGTCTGAGTGAACTCTATGAATATAGTAAAAAGGTTTGACCACCAGTATATGACATGTCTTTGATTATTAAAATAAAAAATAAAACAAAATAATTTTTTTTTTCTTATAGTATAAACCAGTATCAGTAACATCTCATCCTGCTAAATTACCAGAAGAAACCAACTGAACAAAATATATTTGATTAGATCGTAAATTTTTAACATAGAACTACATAATTTCTTCATTGAAACTTATAGTATCACCTTCATTGGGTCTTGATTATCCTGCTAATTGTCCAAACCTTCTTTCAGGTTATATTTATATTAATCCAAATAATCCATTTAGACAAGATTATGTTTTATCATGGTTATTTCTTTGTTTATATGTAATTGATGGTCATGAGACAACAAAAATATTTGACAAAGCATACGTTAATTGGTCAAAAGGTGATCTTCTTGTTATTCCATATCAAATACAACGATTAGAACATTTTATACTAGATGAGACAACATTTCATTACGCACAGGGTAGAATATTACTTAAATATCGTTAAGTAAAACCATCATGAAAAGTCTTAAAAACTAAAGTAGAAATTATTCGAGAAAAATACATTGATTGGAGAGAATTTAGATGAACATGGTAAAATTCAATCATCAATCCATTTAAATTGGGAATCAAATTCAGCATGTACAACATCACTTTATACGTAGTATTCACATCATAATGAATCTAAAGATAAAGATGCATGGATTTTATCAACTCAAAATGCTGGTCTTTCAGTATATCAGTAAAACATTTTTGACTTTTTATTTTTATTTATTTTTAAAATAATGGTTTTTTTTTATTCTTTTAATGTCTTGTATGATATTCAATTTACAGATGAAGAATGGAAATATTTAAAAGATAAACATACGATTAAAGGTATAATTTATTAATTTTCGCATATTAAATATTGAATTTTATTCAACCAAACATTAAATTTGGAGAATTTTGAATTGAAAAATTAATATTTATAAAAAAAATAAATACATGAGAAAAGTGTAAAATAAAACATTGTTAGAATTCAAAAAAAAATAAAAGTAACCGTTTTAATGTCTCGTATTCATATATCCTTCAACTTTCTTCTGGCATTAGAGCTTTTGTTTTTCGAATTGAAGACACAACTTGATGTTTTGATGATAATGTATGACCAGCTATTTCTTCTGCTCGTTCTAAATATTGTTTTGCTTGTTCAATATTTCCTAGATGTGTTTGAACAACTGCAAGATTATGTATACGCAATTGAGAGCAGCAACGAGCGAAAACAAAGTCCTTGAAGTCACTTTCATGGTTACTTCAAATTTTGATGGAATAGAATTGCGATGCAGCATATTTAATGAAAGAAAAA